CACCCCTCCACCTTGGGTTCTCTCCACAGAGTCCCAACAAACTATCTAAAAAAATTTCTCTTGCATTCCTCACTAGCTACAGGGACGAGGAGGGGGAGCATTCACTTCCACGGCCACGTTAGCTTCTCTGCATCTTCCTCCACTTGATCCCACAGTCCTTCTTCCATGTTTACAGTCCAGGAATGACCAGTAGGCAGGTGGCCTCCAGCACACAGCATTGCATCCAAGCCTCCCTTTTTCTGGGTGGTCAGGTGTACTACGCTGAGTCTTATTACCCATAATGTAGGTCGGAAGTCTTCCTTGCTTACAACTCCAAGAATATCCTGAGGTTGGCATACCTTGTTCTGTGGTGAAAGCGTATCCTAACTAAAGACATCTCTCTTGACTAACAGCCCTCTGGACTATCTGATGCTAACAACCCCCTGGGCTATGTGATGCTAATGTGCTCAACAGGTTTCTAATCCAATGATGTTTATTATGTTGTCCCAGGAGCAATTTACTAATACAGTGCACTTTTCTTACCTGACATTGAAAAGTCAGGCTTTATTTAAGAACTGTGACCTTCTAGTAGGTTTAAGATTAGTTAAATGAGTGAAGAAAGGCGCTGGGTAGGTGAGTTTGCCCTATAAGAGAAGACCTGAATCAGATCCTCAGACCTTATGTGGATGTCAGGCGGATTCTGTAGGCTGCCTGTCATTCCAGAGCTCAGAAGTAGAGAAAGAGGATCCCAGAAACAAACTAGCTAGCTGTACTGGGAGCTCCTGGTTCAAGCAAGAGACTGCTTCAGTGAATAAAATGCAGACTGTTCAAGGAAGGCTTCCACTATGAACCATGGGCCTCCACAGGAACACACAAACATGTGGGTGTGCACGGGCCTCCACAGAAATGCACACACATGTTGGTGTGCAGCTTCATACACATAAGCCCACACACATGAACACACATGCATACAGACACACGCCTCCACACACAAAAACAGTAAGTGAGATGCTTGAGGTAAATCTCAAGACAAAGGTGCCACTAACTATATGGTAAGCAAGTACTGTGGTGTTTGTCTTAGCTGTGGGAGGACCACTTACAAATACATGACTTGCCTTTCGTTTAGCACATAAGAACCATCAAGGTGCTGTCCCAACTAAGCAAAGAAAAACAAAATAAAAAAAATGTCTACCACCTCAAACAACTTACTGCCTTCCGTAGCATATTACCAGGAAATATACTATGAACATGAAAACATTAAACATGAAAAAGTTAAAGCATTAATGTGCTTGTCTGAAGTATAACTGGAACAACAGAAGCACTAGAGGGAGGTGAGGGGCGGGAAGGGAGGGCGCCTTTAGCTCCTAGTGTTGCCTACGGTTGAGGGTGGCGTGTGTGCTGGGGAGATACAGGCATTGTCACAGGCCTTGAGAGATAAGCAAGGTTGAGAGACCTTCGGTGGCAGACACAGGAAAGTCTGTCTGCCAAAGCACACACATTCCAAGCCACTGAAACAGCTCCAGTAAGTTCTTTAAACTGTGTGGCGCAGAACAAAGAAACACGCTAAAAAAAGGTGAGTGTGTGTTTCTAACTCAAGTCTTCAAGAAAGGATGTGATTCAAAAGTTAGATATGCTAAAAAAAGCATTTAACCCAAGCGTAGCTGGGGAAGGACTGAGTCTATGGCAGTGCCATCCTCGGCCCTTCCAGTAAAGGACACCAGAGCTGAAGGACGAGATCTCAGTCAGCTCTAGACAGGTTACACCGATGGAATCCTTACTGCTCATCCTCTAGAAGGGAGCTGTCTCTACATGCCAAGCTTCATCTAGTTCATGCAGTGAGGTAGGCTCTGAAACTCTGTTACACAAGGAAAGTAAGCAGGGTTCAGCATGGTTCAGTCATGTGAGATCCTTTGAGAAGGGCCTAGATCACCTTAGAACTCACAATGCCAAGCTCACAATGCCAAGTAACAATCCTGCCTCTGCCTCCTGAGTGTTGGGATTTCAGGTGTGTCTCACCATGCCTGGTTACCATTTATATTTAAAAGAAGTGGAGTCAAAGACACCTCCATGACACCTGCATAGTAATGCCAACCTCATTGGTTAAATATGTGTCCACAGATGAATCAAGATTAGAGACACAGCCAACATTCCAGGACGAGGGAGAAAATCCTGGGAATGTGTAGTCCATGAGATACTGTTGCCAAGAGTAGCTGATTCGAAGGACAGAATGGTCCACTGGGTCCTTTCAAATTATTCATTTAGTTCCAATCAGTCAAAAGACCATGAGCTTTGGAAATAGACTGTCCTTACTCAAAATTCAAACTGTTGCAGATCAGCCAGGGCATGGCCGACTCTGGAGAGTTACCTTATGCTCTTAATTTCTGTTTTCTTGTGCAGGTGTTACGGTTAGTTGAAAAAAATGTAATAGGTTGGAGGGGAAAGAAGGACACCTTTGGATAATGCGGACAAAGGGTGACATTGAGAACTAGAGAGAACCAGATGTGGGGAACTCACGTGTGTACTTCTATCACTCAAGAGGCTGAGGCAGGAGGATTGCCAGGACTGTGAGGCAAGACTGGGTAGCAAAGCGAGACTGTGCCTAAAAACAAACAAGGGCAAGCAGTAAGGTGCCCAACTGCATCCACTTAGCATATTCCAGCTGCATGGCAGTTGCCAAGCCATAACCTCTGCGCTCCATTCTATAAAATAGGTGTGGCACCATCTCTCTTAGGATGGGAGAGATACCAGGCCAGCCAGTTTACATAACAGAAATGTCATCAAATCATTAAGACAAGTCTTGCTAAATAAGTACAACTTTTATCTCATTTCTCTTTAAATTTGGGCTTTCTTACCATGGTGCCAATGACTATAAAGTACTATAGAAGATTAAAAAATCACTGACAAGCAGTGGTGGCACATGCCTTTAATCCCAGAACTCTGGAGGAAGAAGCAGGAAGATTTCTGAGTTCAAGCTTGGTCTTACAGAAAGAGTTCCAAGACAGCCAGTATTATACATAGAAATCCTGTCTCAATCATCAATCAATCAATCAAACATAATTGTTTAAAAACTGGGCATTTGGAGTTAGAATATTTCTGACTCTGGATTGTTGTTAAAACAAACTTTACCTAAGCGTCAAGTTGTTTATTTCTGTTAGAGTTCTTACAACTTTTTCTGTACTAAAAAGCCTCCTCTTTAAAAAAAAAAAATTACACTCCTTGATGACATAACTCAATTGGTAGATTGTTGCATGAACCAAGAGCCTCCGACTCAATCCCCAGTACAGAATAAAGTGGGCAGTGGTGCTCCTGTAATCCCAGCACTGGGGAGATCAGAAGTTCAAGGTCTGAGGCTAGACCAATAAAACAGTAAAAACAAAAACTCACAATACTTCATCAAAGTGCCCATCAATCTGAGAAACAATAGTTCAGAGTTTTTAACATTAATTCAGGCCATTTTGCTTATGGGAATTGGTTAATTATGCTTACCACCTTTTACAGATATTGAGGTGGTAGCCCCTACCTGCTGTCAGCCTAGAATATAAAAGAGGGAAGTGTCTGTACTTGCAAAGACTGCCCCCCATCTCCCAGTTGGTTTTAAGCCATAAGAAATTCAAGTATCATAGACCAGAGATGTACAGATCTAATCTGATAGCTTTGTCCACATATCTATTGTGGAGTGCAAATCTGAGTAACAGTCTATCAAGTTCAGATTACACCGAGGCTTGGTGGCTCTCCACAAATCATCAGAAAATAAAGAGAAGCGTGTGTAAAGCTTTGGTGCTGGCAGTGTTGTAGAACTGTGCGAACCAAGTGGTTTAAAATCACTTGTATTCCCGTCGCCTAGGTGGCATCTTAATGCTGGTCCACTCTAAGTCCTTGTCCAAGCTTCAGTGAAGCACTGCATACTCGGCAGAAATGTGACCGTTAGCTAAGGCCACACTTCTTACACTACTGCAGTCTGGAGAAGTGAGACAGCACCTCTAACGGGTAATAAGGCTCTCTGAGCCAGACCGGGGCACTCCCACAAAGATCAATTAGTCTTATTTTTCACTTTAATGGGAACCCAAAAATGTTTCCTAACTAATTTGTTGTGAGTTTAAAAATGCTTAAGGAATGGGAAACTGTAAAGTTCTGCTCTCACCCACTTAATAAAACATTCACATAAGCATGGGGACTAGGTGTGGGCTGAGCCGTTGCAAAGAAAGGTAACTTGAAGGGTTTTAAAATAACTGAAATTTGAGGTACACAGCCGAGTGTGGGGGGAGGGAAGTATTAGCTGCTGGGAAAAAAAGAAAGGCTTTGGCGTCTACGGAGCACACCCTAAGACTCCCAAGGGGGCTAACTCCATCCCAAACACCTCTATGCTCAGAACCAGAGAAAACCAAGAGCTTGCTAGGCTCAGTTTGGAATGAAGGCAGAAGTCCTGGCCGCAGCTGCTGGCCTAGACACCTGGCCTCCAGGGTCTTAGGATGCTGAGCAGCCCCCTCCTGCCCCTCTGGACCTGCAGGTGAGCGGAATGGTGCTCACTGGATCCCTATGGAGACCTTCGATTTTCCCTTCCTTCCTCAAAAAGTGTAACTTCGGGCATCTTCCAGGGAGACGAGGGGGCTGGGGAGAAGAGCAGAAAAACCAGGCCCCAGCATCTCCCGGGTTTTGAAGGTAGGGAAGGAGAATTGCCCGGGCCATCCCTGCGGCGACCGCGTTTTCTCCTAGTACGCCCCTCCCCCAGTCCCCAGAACCTGCGGCGGCCAGGCTGTACAGGGCTCCCGGCTGGGGGCGGGGGGGTGTCCCTGGCGCGTACGCTAAAGCCCGCGTGGGTTGGGTGGGGTTGTTGTTAGCGGGATCCCCGGACCGCACGCTGGGCAGGCGACCACATTGTGCCTGTCCCAGAGCCCTGGGGAGGCAGGGACACGAACGAGGCAGGGTGGACGCGTCCAGGCTGGGGCGCGCCCAGAGAACCGAGCCTAGTGGCAGGGCGCCGGCCGTTCCTCTCCATCCGTCCGCGGGTCCCCACCCCTTACCTATGGGGGCGAGGGTATCCGCAGAAGAGGGTGCCAGGGCGCGGCGAGCTGTGTCCTGGTTGGGCTCAGCGGCGGCCAGCGACCGCAGCGTCGCTGCTCATGGCTTGTCGCGCCCAGAGTGCTGCGGCCACGGCCGCGGTGGCGCCTCGATCCTCGTCCTCTTCGCGGGCTCTGAGCCGGGACGCAGCTAACGCCCCAGCTCCGCAGCCCTGTTCCTCCTCCCCGGTGCCTCCCTGCCTGCGAGCGGAGACGCCTCCAGCGCCGCCCCGCCTGGCCCGCGGCAGCCAGCGCCGCCCAGCGCCCAGCCCCAGGGTCGCCGCCGGCTGCCGAGCCGCCGCCGAGGTGCCAGCCCCGCTGTGACGCAGGCAGCGCTGCTGGGGACCTTCCTTCTCTGCCGAGACCACCAGGCGTCTAGGGCGGGCGGGCCTGCCCTGGGCGGGCCGCTGAGTACCGCGTTCCGCACCGGGAAATCGAGCCTCTCCGCGGATGGATGATTGCGCTGCTCGAAGCCACCCACCTGGCTGGCACTGTAGGGAAGATCTGTCCTCTACCTCCTGTGTGCAACCCTAACAATGCCAAAAAGCGGGTGGCCTCTGTGAGCCCGTCATCCGCTCTTACACCGCAGCTCCTCCCTGGGCTAAGTTGAAGCAGAGCGACCGCTGCTAAAAATAACCCTCCTGGGAACTCCCAGGGGGTCAGGATGGAGATAACCCCTCCCCAGAGAGTGAAAGGTCCAGGAAGTGGGTGGAGAGGGGGTGGTGGGGGTATACTAAGGGGCACAGAGGAGAACGAAAAAAATTCCGATGTCCACAGTTTACAAAGCCTCAAGACCCTGAACCACCTCAAGCCCGCTGTCGGGCTGGCAGGAGTCTCCCATTGCTGGACCCTGCAAGATGGGCTTCTGGGCTCAGAGCAGCAGGTGCCATTCTGTATGAAAGCTCCGCCTACGATTTTGTGTGGGCAGAGGTGGGGATCGGTGTGGGTGTGTGTGTGTGCGCGCGCGCGCGCGCTCAAAAGAGTTAACACTGTGCCTCGAACCACCTGTTATTTAGACGGTGTAGGGGAGGGGTTCGCTCCCACCCATTGATCTGAACGGTGGGTTTCTCTGCCGATCCCTATGCCCGATTATAGTTTGAAAGCATAAACTAGCATCTTGAAAGCTGGCAGCTCCCTAAAAAGAAAATTTGCCTATTGAGAGGAAAAAGTGCAGACAAGATAACGGTAGCAGTCTTCAAAGAAAAGAGTGCTTGTCAGTAACCAGCTGGCTGTCCTCAGAGCACTTGATGAATAAAAAATTACTCTGTCCTGGAAGTCTGGGAGAGGCAGAAGAGAGGACAGAAATGGGCAGCCAGCAGCCATTAACTAGTCTGTGTGCTCCTGCATGGTAAGTTTATAGAAGGTAATCATTTTCCAAGCCACAATAAAAAGCGGGCTGTGGGGGAAGAGCCTATCCCCCCACCAGGCACCTGACTGTTCTTCCTGTTCACAGAATAAAATACTATACTGTCTCTACCCCAATGCAGTTGTTGGCTCTAGGAGACAACCTTAAACCCCTTGGGGGCCTTAGGGAAATCACTACTGCACAAACCTCATTAACCTAGGACAAGTCAACAACCTAGGGTGGGGTGTTCTACTGAAGAAGCAGAAGCTTGTGTCTCTGGGGGAAAGGCAGAGACTGGGTTTTAGTAGTTTGTCTTAAGAGAAAGGGCAGGAGCGATCCAAGTATCTTGTGAGGCAGCAGGTAGATGCAAACATTCTCTAATGAGAGGTAGTGCTAAATTCAAATGTTCTACCTCAGGAACTGGAGTGGGGAATGTAGCTCAGGGCTAGTGTCTCAAGGCCTTGAGTTTGGATCACCAGAACAGCAGAAAACAAACAAAAACCCAAAAAACCCAAACAAACAAACAAATAAAAACAAGCACAAATCTCAGAAAAGCAACTCCTAAAGTTGAAAACCTCCACACAGCGTCTTGTTCTCCAAACACCTCCCCACGAAGCTTCAACACTCTCTGTTGTCATTGTCTAACTGTAAGCCAAGGCAGTCCAGCCCACTGCCACGGATGCAGCAAACCGTAGATTGTTGGTGAAGGTGCAACAGGCTTATGTCTCTGCTCTTCCTCCGTAGGCTCAAGGAAGGACTGCTCCCTCTTAAGCATCCTCATCAGTAATCTAGATATAGTACTGCAGGGTGCTGGGAGGATTCTGTAATATGTATAAAGCGCCAAGAAAAGGAACCAAGCACTTCACTTTGTAAGCACTCAAAGCGTGAGATCAGTTACTGAAATCATTATTCTTTGCTACCTTGAAAAGCAAAAATAGATACACCATTGAAGTTTGGAAATGAGATGTGCTTGCCTCCATCAAAACTTCTCCAGAGCTGCTGTCTGAGTGTATCCAGATCTACTCTGTGATGGCCTAACAGGGTGGACAGGACAGTTCTGCAACTGGACACGGGGTCGACGATGCATGTTAACATGGAGAGTTCCTGGTCTAAGCCACAGCGCCATACTGCATTGGTCATCTCTTCATTTTGGCTAGCTTACGAACACCAAGTCTAGTCTTTTCACTTCAGTTACCTTAACTCACAACCACACACTTAGCAAGCTCCCTATAAAAACACGGGCCAGATCAGCACTCAGGCAGTCAGTGTGTGAGTCCTGGGTCCCAAAGGTCTCCTCAGGAAGGCATGAGGGCTCTTTTCTTGACTCTCAGGTGTTCACAGATATGGACCACGGAGTCTGGCAAACACACAAAACTGGAAGTCTCCATCTTCAGGCTGCAATTTGACTTCAGTTAGAGACCAGGCCAAATTAAAACTCTATATCTAAACTTTACACAGATACAAGTTAACTGCAGCCTATGATAGCAGAATGGATATTTCTGGGCTGGACAAGGCTAAGGTCCAGGATAAGTAACTGTACATACCTGGGCTCAAATTTTGTATAACTAGCTATGTGGTCTTTAGCTTCTTCATCTTTAAACTTCAGCTCTTTCTCAGAACGTTCTTTAGGGGTAAGGTGAGGTTAGGGGCGTATCCAGTAGATAGCGTGGAAATGGTAATGCTGTTGCATTGTTTTATTGCTGCACTACTTAAGAGAAAGAGTCCCTAAACTGTCATTATTCTTCAAAGACATAATTAATCACTTTCTGTAAGGTGCCTGCAACTTCCTGGAAAATATATTTCTTCTTTGTCTTCTCACAGCATTTATTTTTACATATCGACCTCACCATCAAGTCTAGGACTGTCTCCTGTGCAGGGACTGTATCTTTATCTTCATGTCTGTTAGGATCTTCTATGAAATCCTAATGTGATTTCCAATTTCAGTTTATACAGATTCTTTCAGTATAACTCCTACTATAGGCTCTGAAATCAAAATCCTGTAGCTAGTTAAGAATGTATACTTAATAATAAATACATACGAAAGTGCCATAATGAAGCCTAATTTTGTATATTAACTTACTTACTTTCATAAATCTTAATCTAACTTTAAAAGTTACACTAAAATTAAGTATTTTATACAGGTAGGGCTATAACATTGATTTTTTTCAATGCTGAAATTATTTTTTAGGGTGAACCTGCTATTCTTGTTTTGTCTTGCTTTTAATGTCAGTTGATTCTGTCAGGTAATAATGAAAGTAAACTTTTAAGTTCTTAGTCAAAACCACCAGTAAGGTTTTACTCAGAATCTTCACTCTGCTCAATGTATCTGCTACCCAGACCTTTTCTGGGTAGAGAAAGGGTCTGAAAAGGAACTGAACTAATAGAAAACATCTTATTTTAAGTTTCAGTTGTTAATGTTGTTGCAACCATGAGCACTTACCGAATTCCGGCTGTATGGTAAAACTCCACCTTGAGCTACAACTCTGAAATCTGACTTACCATCAAAACCACTAAGACAGCAGAAAGAATAAGAAGTTCCCTGAGAGGTCATGTGGTGATGGCAGCTAAATGTGCACCAGACAAATGACCTAAAAGTAATGGACCCAATGACCTAAAAATAAGAGACTTTAAAACTTTGGATTCAGGACAGGAGACAGCTCAGCTGGTAAAAGTGCTGCCCAAGCCTAGTAAGCTGAGCTGGATCCCTGAAACCCACAGTGGAAGGAGTACACACATACACACACACCATACACACACACACACCATGCACACACCACACACACACACACACACACACTACATATACTACATACATACTTGCACATGCTACACATACAGCATATACACACAGTACATACTACATACATATAGAGCACACACCACATGTACACATACACACACTACACACACATAGACACACAGCACATATACTACATACACACAAAGCATATACACATGTGCACACTACATACACACAGGGGCGCGGGATAAAAATTAAGAAAAACACTTCTAGATCAAATCCTTTTACAAGACAGAATTGTTTGGCCAGTCTGTGTTGTGAAATTTTTCTTGGAAATAATTTTGAACTAGTATGTGTGGGATACATACTTCAGACTCATAGAAGCTTCGTGTGCATTGGCTTATTTAAAACCACCATAGCTACCCATGAAATAGACAGTGTTGGTGTCTCTTATTGACAGAGAATGAACCAAAGCCCGTTAAACGCTTCTAGCTAACCAAAGATCACACAACCCTGAGGGAGCTAGATGTGGGCCTAGACAAGTCTGACTTCAAGGTTAGACATAACCGGTGAATCCTATAAGAAAGAAATAGGTGTTTTGGAACCTGTGGACTATTAGTGGTGTAACTTTTCAGAGTTCTTTTAAAAGTTTTATTTTCTTTTTAAAACACAGTGTGTGTGTGTGTGTGTGTGTGTGTGTGTGTGTGTGTGCGTGCGCGCGCGCTCATGTACATATGTATCTGCATGCTATGTGTGTATGTGTGTGTGCTTGTGCGCACCTGCACAAGCACAAACACATGCTTGGGTGTGCACATGTGCTACGGCACACATGTGGAGATCAGAGGACAGCTTTATGTAGTTGCTTTATGTCGTCACTTCCTCAGGATCCTTGTGGATCCAGGGACTGGACTTGGGTCGCAAGGCCTGCGTGACAGCACCTCTGCCCACTAAGCCACCTGGGCTCATTCGGTAGTTTTAGAAATTGCATTCATGTGCACTCTCCCAGTAGTGTTCATCCCAAACACGCCCTCGTGCTTACTGCTTACTCTTTAAATGAAAAACACCGATGAGAAACTTGAA